GGCACAGCACCCCAAGGCTCAGCACCCCCAGGCTCAGCACCCCCAGGCTCAGCACCCCCAGGCTCAGCACCCCCAGGCTCAGCACCCCCAGGCTCAGCACCCCCAGGCTCAGCACCCCCAGGCTCAGCACCCCCAGACTCCGCACCCCCAGGCTCAGCTCCCGCAGCAGCACCAGAGTCACCAGTGACCTCGAAAGGCTCGACCGCGTCTACCTGGGACACACCTGAAGGGGCAGGACCCTGAGGGGGGAGGGGGACTACCGGGGGGGGACCTGGTACCAGGAAGAGCGGGGGTGGGGGGAGGGACGGAGTGCGGTAGGGGAAGAGGCGGTAGTAGGGTACCGACTCGTCGAACGTGACGTCCTGGGAGGACAGAACACGTCGAGAGGTGGGGTGGTAAAACTGCCACCCAGGGGCGTCGGGGGGGAGCCCCAGGAAGACGCAGGGAGAAGCACGAGGGGACAGCTTGTCCGCAGACAGGTCGCGAACAAACGCCCGAGATCCCCAGACCCGGAACGCCGACGCATCGCCAACCTTCCCCGTCCACAGCAGGGCTGGGGAGGTCTCCGGTCGAGAGACCCTGGGGTGGAGGTTGATCTGGTGCGCAGCGTACCTGACCGCAAACGGCCACAGAAAATGGGGAGCAGCCGCATGCATCATGGACGTACGAGCGACGTCCATGACCATGCCAATGCGGCGCTCAGCAATCCCATTCTGCTGTGGTGAGTCCGGAAGCGTGAAGGTCTGACGGATGCCTCGTGCACGACAGTAGGCACTCAGGAGGCCAGAGGAGAACTCTCCGCCTCTGTCCGAGTGCAGACGCAAAACAGGGAAGTCAGAGCCAAAGCTCCTCCGAAGCTGGAGACGAGCTGCGCGGATCCAGTCGATCAACACCGCAGTGACCTCACCCTTGCTGCGCAAGGGGAAGACTGTGGTGTAACGCGAGTAGTCGTCAACCACCAGCAGGAAGTAGCGCTCCTGACCCTGTCCACGGACGCGGGCTGGGCCCCACACGTCCATGTGAAGCGTCTGCAACGGGGCCTCTGTCGGAGGAAACTGGGAGGAGTGAGGGGCAGCACGCTGGCGCCCCTCGACACAGGGGACACAGGTAGGGCCAGGGCCCGGAGGAAGGGGAGGGAGAGACCGGGGAAGACCAGACACAAGGACTCGCGAGGCCATGCCTCTGAGCCGAAGCAGAGAGGGGTGGCCAAGGCGGTGGTGCCAGAGGAGGGTCTCGTGAGACAGACGACGACACGAGCAAGGGGCAGACTCAGGACCAGACCTGGACGCTGCAGCAAACACCTGACCAGACGAAGGGACCCTACCAGACTCAGCACCTGGAGGAGAAGCAGTGGTCAGTGTGTACAGGCTCGACCCTGGCCGACGTGTAAACGTAGCCAGGTGGCGACCTGTATCCGCCTCCGTGCAGTGGGTCACCCGCTGACGAGCAGGGGTGAACTGGTGGACACCCGCATCCTGGAGGTCAGCACCACTCACCAAGTTCGTCGAGAACGAGGGGAGGTAGAGACCAGTCAGGGTGCCAGAGGGGGCCGCCGGACACGGGAGGACAGTGGAGAAGCGAGACAGGACAGGCCCCCCAGAGGGGTCAGCCAGGGACACCGCAACCGGCCGACTCAGCGGCGTGAGAGTGGTGCGGTCCCTAAAGAAGGAGCGAGACGCTCCAGAGTCAAGGGTGAAGGTGTGAGAGGCCGAAGCCGACACAGTACCTGAGAGGGCAGACTCACCAGCACCTGAGAGCACAGACGCACTGGCACCTAGAGCAGCAGCCTCACTAGTACCTGACGCGGCAGTACCAATGCCCGGGTCGGGCGGGAAACACCGGTAACAGTCATCCTCATCACTACCAGTCACAGCATACATAGCAGAGAGAATAGCATCAAAATCAAGATCATAAATAGCTACACCAGCCCTAGACAGCTCTCCCCAGCGGGGGATCTCAGCGGCCTCCGGAAACTGCTGACGCCAGGCGTCGGTCAGGCGGCCAAAGCAGCGGCGGGCTGTGTGGGCGCCTCCACACCTCTCCCCTGCACGGTCACCTGTGCGAAGAACGTAGGGGCAGGGACCAAGCGCACCACCACGCTGACGCTGCAAGTACCACTCACGGAGCTGCTGAGGGCCGGGGACGGTGCGAGAGCGCTGCTGCTGCTGTGGCTGCTGCTGCGGCTGCTGCTGTTGCTGCTGCTGCTGCTGGCGCTGACCACCCCCAGAGCTGCTCCGCTGGGACGAGCCACTCCGACCCCCGCCTCCACCGCCACCCCCGCCTCCACCGCCACCCCCGTCTCCACCGCCACCTCCCCCACCAGGACCGTCGCTCCCACCGCTCCCACCGCCTCCTCCGCTACCACCTCCGCCGCCACCTCCGCCTCCACCGCCGCCACCAGTACCTCCACTCCCGCCACCACCCCCACCGCCACCCCCACTCCCCCCGCCACCCCCACCGCCTCCTCCACCGCCCCCTCGAGCTCCACCCGCTCCCCTGCCCCCCTTGCTCTTGCCAGAGCGGCGTCTGCCGCTGGGGGCAGACGCCGCGCCGACCGACTCAAAACCAGTGAGGTCGGCCGCAGCGGCAGAGGCGACAGAGGGCAGCAGGGGGGAAGGACCACACCCCTCAAAGATGGGGGTGCGAGGGTCACCCCGAGAGGCCCCTACAGCGACAATACTCTTCTCAGCCGCTAGCAGGGACTCCTCAAGGAGGTCGACAGTGAGAGTGGTGGGACAGACAGAGAGAAACTGGTGCCTAACGACACGAAGGGACTCAGGGAGACGGGTGACGAGAAAGTAGAGGGTGATGTACATGGGAGGAGGGTTCGCAGCGCGGAACTCAGCAGGAAGGGCAGCGCGGTAGCGGGTGTCACTAGCACGGAGGTGGGTAACGAGGTCAGCGACAGTGGGAAAGGAAGCGAGGTCAGGGAAGAGAAACGGTAGCATGAGGCGGCTAAGGGTAGCGGAGGAAGGGGAGGAGTAGCGTGCAACTACAGCGTCGTACAAGGCCTGAGCGGACTTGCACTGACTAAAGTGGGCACGCTCAGAGGAAGGGAGGTGGCGACGCACAGCAAGACGTGCAGCAGCATCGCGGGTCGCCCACTTGGATGCGAACGGCAGAGTCAGCATCAGCAGGTGGGGCAGGAACAGCGCCAGAGACAAAGTCAAAAAGAGAGACCTCATCTATCGCATCACACAGTAAGTACAGCTGCAGGTCTTCAATCCAGACGGCAAAGTCAATGGCCCTCCCCTCAGCGTCAAAAGTAAGAACATTGGGGGTGGCCATGGCAGCAGCTGGAAGTCTCACCGGGCTGGGAGAGTCGGGTAGGTCAGCAGCAGAAGAACACAGCTCAGGAACAGCAGCACGGCGGCTCGGGCGGCTCGGGCGGCTCGGGCGGCTCGGGCGGTTCGGGCGGCTCGGGCGGCGGCTCGGTCGCAGCTCAGCGGCGGCTCGGGCGGCGGCGGCTCGGCGGCGGCTCGGCTGCTGCTGGGCGGCTGGGCGGCGGCCCGGGCGGCTCCGGCTCGGCGGCGCAGGCGGCGGCGGCTCGGCGGCGGCCCGGGCGGCGGCTCAGGCGGCGGCGGCTCGGCGGCGGCTCGGCTGCTGCTGGGCGGCTCGGCGGGGCCGCGGAGCAGAGGGCGGCGGTGCCGCGTAGGAGAGGGCGGCGGGGCCGCGTAGCAGAGGGCGGCGGGGCCGCGTAGCAGAGGGCGGCGGAGCCGCGTAGCAGAGGGCGGCGGGGCCGCGATCGAGGGGCGGCAGGGCCGCGTAGCAGAAGGCGGCGGGGCCGCGTAGCTGAGGGCGGCAGGGCCGCGACGTAGGGCGGCGGGCGGGCCTTCGAAGTAGGGCGGCGGGCGGGCCGGGACGTAGGGCGGCGGGGCCGCGACGTAGGGCGGCGGGCGGGCCGTCGAAGTAGGGCGGCGGGCGGGCCGGGACGTAGGGCGGCGGGGCCGCGACGTAGGGCGGCGGGCGGGCCGTCGAAGTAGGGCGGCGGGCCACGACGTAGGGCGGCGGGGCCGTCGAAGTAGGGCGGCGGGCAGGCCGCGACTTAGGGCGGCGAGGCCGCGCGATAGGGCGGCGGGGCCGCAAGGTAGGGCGGCTCGACAGGCCGCTAGGGAGGGCGACACGACGGGTCGCTAAAAAAAAAGGACGCGCGCCTCGGGGCGCGCTTCGGTGGGCCCAAGAAACAGTCCCTAGTAGGGGACCTGCTCTGATTCCATGTGAAAAAGAGAACGAGAATGGAATGACTATGAAAGAAGTGAGTACAAATAGGAAACCCTAATTGGGTTGTACCCCCTATGGGATACCCCACTATAGCCTACACAATAGTATAAGCTATATAGTTCTGACACAGAACATATCCACTCTTCTAACGAGTAAACTTTGTATTCTTCCTTTGCACACCTGTCAAACCAAATTCGACGCTCCTCTCTTCTTCATTCTTGGTTCTTGATTCTTGTTTTCTTGTTCTTAGGTTCTTGCTCTTCTTTGGTTCTTGCCGTCCCGCCTGCCTACTATGTTACCTTTTCTGTTCTCCTAAGACTCCGCCGCCGCCTCTCCTCCCATCCCACTGTGTCCTCTCCCTCACTCCCCGCCATCTCCTCTACCTCCCTCTCAGCCGCCGTCGCCGCTCCTTCCTATCCTGCATCGCCTCCGCCTCCCACCCCGTCATAGCCTCTCCCTTCCTCCTCTCCGTCGCCTCTCCCTCCCTTCCCGCCATCGCCTCTGATGGGAGCACGAGCATGAGCGCGGGTTTCTGCCCGACCGCGCGTTGTTTTCTGAGGCACCGTTGTCTCAGGTGCGTTTACGTTTTCCGGACCTATTACCTCCCTCCTCCCTCCGAGAATTCCTATTTTCTACGTTCTTCGTAAGTTCTCTGTGCCAATTGGTTTCCTTTTAGCATTGTGCTCCCATTGGTTTCCTCTTTAGTATTGCGCTAGCGCCTTGCGCGCTGGGGCCCTGCGCGCTGGCGCCCTGCGCGCTGGCGCCCTGCGCGCTGGCGCCTAACGCGCTGGCGCCTTGCGCGCTGGCGCCTTGGGCGCTGGCGCCTTGCGCGCTGGCGCCTTGGGCGCTGGCGCCTTGCGCGCTGGCGCCTTGCGCGCTGGCGCCTTGGGCGCTGGCGCCTTGGGCGTTGGCGCCTTGCGCGCTGGCGCCTTGCGCGCTGGCGCCTTGGGCGCTGGCGCCTTGGGCGCTGGCGCCTTGGGCGCTGGCGCCTTGGGCGCTGGCGCCTTGCGCGCTGGCGCCTTGCGCGCTGGCGCCTTGGGCGCTGGCGCCTTGGGCGCTGGCGCCTTGCGCGCTGGCGCCTTGCACGCTGGCGCCTTGGGCGCTGGCGCCTTGCGCGCTGGCGCCTTGGGCGCTGGCGCCTTGGGCGCTGGCGCCTTGGGCGCTGGCGCCTTGGGCGCTGGCGCCTTGCGCGCTGGCGCCTTGGGCGCTAGCTGTGAAGTAAGGAAAACAGGAATGAGAATGACTAAGTCAGAGTTGGGTACAAATACAACCCTAGAGAGCTGTACCCCATATGTGCTACCCCACTATAGCCTACAAACATGCATCAGCTATAATACTCTGACACACCCCCATAGGCTAAGTGGGGGAGAACAAGGGGTCACAAGACCAGTCAAGCAAAGCAAGCAAAGCAAGCTCAGGGTGGATCACAAAGTCACCACACAGTCCGAGCACAAGAGCAGGGCCAGAGGCCAGTTCACATGCAGGAGTAGAGACATATATATAAAACTAGACAAGCAAGAGCAGGTATATATATATGTCACAGTACAAGTGAAGTCAAGAGGAGAGCAAGTGAGGCAAGACAGGTACAAGACCCAGCTGGGTGCAAAAGCGCTGATGGTCACAAGGCGCGAGTGCCTTGGTGAACACATCAGCAGTGTTGGCCTCAGAGGCCACGTACGCAAGTCGCAACTGACCACGCTGCTGCAGCTCACGAGCAAGGAAGTAGCGGAGAGCAATGTGCTTCGTTCTGTGCTCCAAGCGCTGCTCTCGACACAAGGCCAGCATGGCCTTGTTGTCTACGTACAGCACTGGAGGAGAACGAGGCGGCTCTCCAAGGTCAGTCAGCAGGTAGGTGAGCCAGCGAAGCTCCTGTGCAGCCATGGCCCCGGCGTAGATCTCACCCTCACAACTGGAGCCGAGAACCGAAGACGAGCGAGTAGACCGCCACGAGACAGAGCCGGAACCAAGGCTGAAGGTGTAACCCTGTGACGACCGCTGCGTAGCCTGGTCGTCAGCCCAAGAAGCGTCCGCGTGGCCGGTAAGGACCACTGGACTCCGCCCTCCAAGCACTAGCCCCATGCTCGACGTGCTGCACAGGTAGCGCAATACCCTCTTCGCTGCAGCCATGTGCTCCGGTCTGTGTCTCCCAGGAGCAACATAGCGAGCAAGAATGCTCAGAGGGTATGCAAGGTCAGGTCGTGTGCAGGTCATCAGGTACATGAGGCAGCCAACAAGCTCTGCATACGGACCACTCGACTCTACGGACTCATCCGAAGGCAGAGCTGAGAGTGAGTGGCGAGTAGGCAGAGGAGTGGCCTGAGGCGAGGAGTACGTGAAGCCGAAGCGCTGAAGGACCTGCTGCACCATGTGTGACTAAGTCAAGATAATGGTGCGGCGTGCTCTGTCCCGAGTGATCTGCAAGCCAAGGTAGCTGCGCAGTTCACCCAGGTCTGTGCACGTGTGTCTCTTCAGCAGCTCGGACTTCACGTAGGCGAGTCCAGCAGTGTCTGCTGTGGCAAAGACCAAGTCGTCGACGTACACGAGGATGTAGAACGGCGGCAGGGAAGTGTCGGTGCGAAGAAACAGCAACGGGTCAGCAGTAGAAGGAGCAAACCCAAGAGCCGCAAGCGTAGTCCTCAGTGTGTCGTGCCACTCACGCGGTGCCTGGCGGAGACCGTAGACTGGCCGTCGGAGGCTCCACTGGGTGCCAGGAGGGAAAGTCCCAGTGAAGCCAGGTGGACGGCGAAGCCAGATCTCCTCGTGCAGGCTACCCTGCAAGAACGCAGTGCTGAAGTCGAGAGAGTGAAGCTCGTAGTCGCGCTGAGCGGCTATGTGCAGCAGCACCCGAAGAGTAGTCATCTTTGGGGTGGGAGAGAAGGTCTGAAAGTAGTCAACTCCCTGCCGCTGACTGAAGCCACGAGCAACGTACCGTGCCTTGAAGACAGGTGGAGAGCCCGGCGGCCGCTTCACCCTGAAGATCCACATGCCACTGACGATGTTCGCCCCAGGAGGGGGAACCGCGTCAACGTAGGTGCCTGTGGACTTCCAGGAAGCCATCTCTGCATCCATAGCTGCCTGCCACTGAGAGGAGTAGGGACCCTCTACGGCCTCCGCGTAAGAACGCGGAGTCGGGATGTCTAGTGCATCCGGGTCTCCCTTAGGGGCAAGCAGTATAGACGCGAGATGAGGTGAAGCAGCCGCTAGACACTGTAACTCCTCCTGCCTGTCCTCTAGGAGGTCCGTGCCAAGAGCACACTCACCCCCGACGGACGGAGGACAGACAGACGCAGACTCAGCAACAAGACTAGCAGCGTAGTCGAGACGACAGCGAGCAGCAAAGTCGACGAGCTCAGCGACAAGGGCAGACGCAGCAGTGGACTCAAACGAGGGGTCAGTGACGACAGTAGCAAGGAGACGCGTGACAGTAGGACTGGCAGCACGAAGAGAGTCCGACTGAGGGTCGGCAAGCGTAGGAAGAGAGGAATCAGGAGGAGAAGGCAAAGGGGCACGCAGAGGAGCAGTGGACGGACGCAAAGACATCCGGTGCGTGCCAGGGACAGGAGGAGGACGCTGACGCGAACTGCGACCACTAGCGCGAGCAGCACGAACAGGCGACGCGGGACGAGACGCAGGCTCACGTCGCTCAGCAAGACCTCCAGTAGGACCAGTGTAAGGAGAGGGAGCAGGCAGTGGAGAGGAAGGCTCCAGCAGGGACTGCGACTGGAGAGGCGGTGGACCCTCTACTGGAGGAGAAAGACCAAGAACCTGCTGCAGGAGCGGAACGAAGTACGATCGAGGCCGCGCGGCAGCTCCAGACTCAGCAGGGACAGCACCAGCACCCTCAGCGACAGCACCAGCGCCACCCACACCTCCAGCGGCAGGACCAACAGCAGTAGACTCAGTACCAACGCCCTGAGTAGCTCCAGCTCCAGGAGGACCCGCAGGTCCAGCAGCTCCGGGACCGGCAGCACCCGCACCCTCGACGGTCGAAGAAGCTCCAGCTCCAGCTCCAGCAGCACCTCCAGACTCAGCAGCACGCCTCCAGCGGCGAGCGAACCACTCGCGCAGCTCCTGTGGAGAGAGGGGCTCCCGGCGAGACGCAGCAGCAGGAGAAACCCCAGGCTCAGCAGCTCCAGACGCAGCACCCCTAGGCTCAGCAGCTCCCAGCTCAGCACCCCCAGGCTCAGCAGCTCCCGACCCAGCACCCCCAGGCACAGCACCCCCCGGCTCAGCACCCCCAGGCTCCGCACCCTCCGCAGTAGCACCCTCAGGCCCAGCAACCCCAGCAGTAGCACCCCCAGGCTCAGCACCCCTGCGCACAGCACCCCCAGAGTCAGCACCCCCAGGCTCAGCACCCGCAGCAGCACCAGAGTCACCAGTAACCTCGACCGGGTCAACGGCGTCTACCTGGGACTTACCTGAGGGGGCAGGAACCTGAGGGGGGAGGGGGTCTACTGGGGGGGGAACCGGCACAAGGAAGTCCGGGGGAGGGGGGAGGGAAGGAGTGCGGTAGGGGAAGAGACGGTAGAAGGGGACTGACTCGTCGAACGTGATGTCCTGGGAGGACAGAACACGACGAGAGGAGGGGTGGTAAAACTGCCACCCTGGGGCGTCAGTGGGGAAGCCAAGGAAGACACAGGGAGCAGCACGAGGGGACAGCTTGTCCGCAGACAAGTCGCGGACAAACGCCCGAGATCCCCAGACACGGAACACAGACGCATCGCCAACCTTCCCCGTCCACAGCAAGGCTGGGGACATCGCAGGCCGAGAGACCCGGGGGTGAAGGTTGAGCTGATGCGCCGCGTACCTCACCGCAAACGGCCACAGAAAATGGGGGGCAGCCGCATGCATCATGGACGTACGAGCGACATCCATGACCATGCCAATGCGGCGCTCAGCAATCCCATTTTGCTGTGGTGAGTCCGGAAGCGTGAAGGTCTGGCGGATCCCCCGTGCACGGCAGTAGTCTCGCAGAAGGCGAGAAGAGAACTCTCCGCCTCTGTCCGAGTGCAGACGCAGAACAGGAAAGTCCGAGCCGAAGCTCTTCCTGAGCTGGAGACGAGCCTCGCGGATCCAGTCGATCAGCACCTCAGTGACCGCACCCTTGCTGCGCAAGGGGAGGACTGTGGTGTAACGCGAGTAGTCGTCAACCACCAACAGGAAGTAGCGCTCGTGACCCTGCCCACGGACGGGGGCTGGGCCCCACACATCCATGTGAAGCGTCTCCAGGGGAGCCTCTGTCGGGGGGAAGTGGGAGGAGTGAGGAGTAGCCCGGAGGCGACCCTCGACACAGGGGACACAGGAAGGTCCTGGCCCGGAGGGGAGAGGAGGGAGAGACTGGGGAAGACCAGAGACAAGGACACGGGAAGCCATGCTCCGAAGACGGGGCAAGGAGGGGTGGCCAAGACGGTGGTGCCACAGGAGAGTCTCGTGAGACAGGAGGCGACAAGAACAGGGGGCAGACTCAGGACCTGACCGGGACGCAGTAGCAAGCACCTGACCCGACGCAGCCACCTGACCAGACGCAGGGACAAGAGGAGACTCAACTGTCAGGGTGTAGAGACTCGACCCTGGCCGACGCGAGAACGTGGCCAGGTGGCGGCCTGTGCGTGCCTCCGTGCAGTGGGTCACCCGCTGACTCGCAGGAGTGAACTGGTGAACCCCCACATCCTGCAGGTCCGCTCCACTCACCAAGTTCGTAGAGAACGAGGGAAGGTACAGACCAGACAGGGTGCCCGAAGGGGCAGCCGGACAAGGGAGGACAGTGGAGAAGTGAGACAGGACAGGACCCCCAGAGGGGTCAGCAAGGGAGACCGCAACCGGCCGGTCGAGCGGCGTAAGGGTAGTGCGGTCCCGAAAGAAGGAGCGAGAAGCCCCGGAGTCAAGTGTGAAAGTGAGGGAGGACGAGGACGACGCAGTACCTGAGAGCGCAGTCTCACCAGTACCTGAGAGCACAGACGCACTGGCACCTAGAGCAGCAGCCTCACAAGCACCTAGCGCAGCAGTACCAATGCCCGGGTCGGGCTGGAAACAGCGGTAACCCTCATTCTCCTCACTATAATCCACAGCATACATAGCAGCAAGGATAGCATCAAAATCAAGATCAAAGATCGCTACACCAGCCCTAAGAAGCTCATCCCAGCGAGGGATCTCACTAGCCCCAGGGAACTGCCGACGCCAAGCGTCCGTCAGGCGGCCAAAGCAGCGCCGGGTGGCGTGGGCACCCCCACACTGCTCACCCGCGCGGTCGCCGGAACGAAGAACGTAGGTGCAGGGACCAGTACCCCCACCCCTCTGACGCCCAGCGTACCACTCACGAAGCTGCTGAGGCGGAGGGATGTCCCGCGAGCGCT